CCAGGCAGCCTCAGCCCTCTGGGCAAATGCCCAGTGTGCCCTATGGCCAGTCCTGGCCTGCATGGAATGCTAGTGAATTTAATGATTTTTGTATGCATGAGAGTTGTTTCCTACTGCGCAGAAATAGCCAACTGTTTCAACCATCTTCAACTAATACATCTTTTATATTAGTTTTTAATACATGCTGTACATTTAACTCATCCAAGCAAAATGAATTTTTATATACAGTATGTATCATTGATGATACTTGTTGGTATGGGTCACTCACTTATAGGAAGCAGATGGTGCATTACTTCCACATTTATTTGCAAATGCATGCAACTGAAACCTCTGCTCTTGACTATATAATATTTTTAGAAGAAGACTTGAAATCTGCTCCCCTTTGTCAGCTGGCAAAATGAAGTGCTGCGGAACATCACAAGGTCTCTGTGTAAGATTTACTTCCACTTTTTATGTCATGATTGCTTCCTGGCAGCAACACAATATACAAATGTATTATTTTGTATTTGCATCATACTCCATCTTACCCACATATTAGATTCTCTGAAGGAAGCAAAGCCTGAAATTGAGAAGTTTAAACTACCCAGATGAAAATCATGTATTAGCAGACATATAAGCACAATCTAGGATTGCATAATTGCTGCTCTTTAAGGTCTCGTTCACATTATACATGCAAAAAAAAACTGATGGAAAAATGAGCAGATTTCACTTGCATAGAATATTTTGGGCTAGTTCATGCAAGCTCAGGTCAATAATGCATACTTTATCATTTCCATATCTATTTGCTCCAAGAGTTAAGAATTAAAGAATTCTTCAGAATATTTAGAATGTAACCACTTTAGGAGCCCCGGTCCGCATTATACTGCACACCGGCAGCTCCTACAAGCACAATGATGTACCTGTACATTGCTGCCTGCTCCCGGGTGCAGGGCGAATGCGCAGTGCTGCCATCTGACCTCAGCTGTGACTGAATTTTAGCAGCAGGTCTTGGACAAGGATTCATGGCCTGGACCTGCTGATCGGCTGTGTCCAATCACAGCCCAGAACCCTGTGTTGACAAACAACATAGGGCTCCATACAAAGGGAACAGTCTCTTTGTTTATTCTCCCTGCAAAGCAGCAAAGATTGTTAGTAAAAATCAGCACACATTAACACTTGTTAGGCACACACTTAACCCCTTGATTACCCTGAGATGTTAACCTCTTCCCATCCAGTGACATTAGTACAGTGACTGTATGTAGTATTATCACTGATCACTGTATTAGTGTCACTGGTGATGTTAGTGTCAGTTAGTCAATTCCCAACCAATGTCAGTTAGTGTCAGATTTCCGCCGCACTATCACAGTCCCACTATAATTAGCTGACCACTACTAGATCCATTACTAGTATACAAAACAAAAATAATGAAGTAAAAATTCCAGTACATATACCCTAGTTTGCAGACTCTATGACTTTCACACAAACCAATTAATATACACTTTTTGGGATTTTGTTTACCAAAGACATGTAGCAGAATACATTTTGGCCTAAATTTATGAAGATATTTTTATTTTATATTGGATATGTTTTATGTTTTGTTTTTTTTCAAAATCTTCTGCCTTTTTTCATTTATATATTAAAAATAAAAACCCAGTGGTGATCAAATACTCCCAAAATAAATCTCTTAACAACCGATAACTCATCAGCTGAATGATGTAAAAAAAAAAAAAAACTGCGTGGGAATCCTCCCTCCCCCCATCCATGCCAGGCTCTTCAGATCTGTTATGGATTTTAATGGGAACTCCAAGCCAAAATTTAATAAATAAGAATGGCATGGGGTCCCCCCAAAATACATACCAGAGCCTTTTTCGAGCATGCAGCCTGGCAGGTCAGGAGAGTGGTGGGAGCAAGTGCCCCCCCTCCTGAACTATGCTAGGCCAAATGCCCTCAACACAGGGGGGTCCTTTGGGTAGGGGGAGATTCCCCCCAAAGCACCTTGTCCCAATGTTGATGAGGTATAAGGGCCTCTTCCCCACAACCCTGGCCCGATGGTTGTGGGGGTGCAGGGGCTGTCTTATCGGAATCTGGAAGCCCCCTTGTTACTCCCCCAGATCCCAGCCCAAACACATTTGAATCTTCGAATAACCAAAAATTTATCTGAATTTATATTCAGACCAAAAAGAATTGCACATATGTATTAGCGATGTAGAGGCCTTCAAGCAGGGCCATAGTGCTTAATAGAGAACCAGGCGTACAACACATCCTAGCAGTATAAGGAAAAATAGTCCATGTTGACAGAGAGTAAAGAGGAGGAGGTTCAGAGTTGCTCTGTGCAAAGCCATTGCACAGAGCAGGTTATTTTGACATAATAAATGAACCTTTACAATCACTTTAAGTAAACCATTAAAAATGTTTTGTTATACCTGTTCAATGTATGCAAAAATATATTTGATTATGCCTGTGCCTTCTGCTGCACTATTATCACATACAGTTTTTCCCAGTTCCCTTTCTGTAACTACATGAAACCTCCATCTCTACAAACGTCTTGTTCTAGGATGTTAATGCTACTCCCCCATAGATACAATGCTACTCCCCCATAGATAAAGTACAGTGAAAGGGCATTGTCACTCTAGGAGAGGAAGTGTGGTACTGGCAGGATTATCAAGTGAAAAAAAAAACTGCATAAAAATAATAAAACCACTGTTAAAGAATGGTAATCTGCAATATACTGCACTTCAGTTCATAGGAATAAATTAATTTTACATATATTTTTTCCAGGCTGGGCTTGTTTACAAGTCTATATTACAGTGAGAAAGTTACTCTAAAATTGTGGTAGAGGTATATGAGCAATGATAGTTTGGTTTTCCATCGTCTTTTTTTTAGATAGATGGCTTCTTCACATCTTAGTGGCAGTATGTTTAATATTTTGTTATTACTGAATTTTCCTGGTGGTTAACACTTTTTTCTATTTGGCACTATCTGCTTGGAGTTTGCATCTTTTCCTTGTGCTTGCATGGGTTTTCTCTGTGTACTCCGGTTTCCTCCCACACTTTAAAGACATATTGGTAGATTTATTAACCCCTTTCCTTAGTATGCATGTATGTGAGACTTTAGATTGTAAGCTCTTTGAGGGCAAGGACTGATGTGAATATACAGGTTGTAAAGTGCTATACAGAGATATAAAAAACCTGTAATAGATAATACATATGCTCACTTTATTTCTACCATCGGATTACAAGCCCCCTTTCAAAGTAGGTTTGCATTTAAAGGTATTGCTATCTTGAAGTTCAGATATACTATATATATATAAAAACATAAATTACTTTACCAGCTCCTTTACTTAAAGAAAAAGGTAATATATGCTTGTTTCTATTTTACAGATGAATCCAGGGTGTTTTCAACCACTTAATCACCTCAATACACTTATAATGGCTAACCTGACGCTTGGACCTAATTTGATAGAGCAGCTTTGCACAGAACTGGCCGTAACTCAGATTAAAGTTCTCATTCTACTTAATTCTCAGCTAACAAAGATACACAATAAAACTTTTAAAGGCCTTCAAAATACAACCCTTGAAGTTCTGGATATATCAAAAAACAGTTTGACGCAAATTGATAATGACTCATTTATTTATCTACAGTTTTTAACGGTTCTCAACCTGGAGGAAAATCAAGTCAGTCATTTAAAACGCAGGAGCATTTAAAGGCTTGTCAAGTGTTAAATCCTTGAATTTACAAAAGTTTTTTAGTGGTACTAAAGACAAAATTGATGACATGTCATTCCAGTGGCTCAAAAAACTTGAGAGCCTGAATTTGGAAAGAAATAAAAATATTGACTTTGCCAAGGTCAGTTTTACAGGATTGACAAGTTTGAAGAATTTAAGCTTGACTGAATGCTCATTTCAATCACTTACTAATAGGACCTTTTCATCGCTTTCGAATTCTCCATTGATGTTTTTGAATCTCTCGAAAACTAGCTTAGCTAAGCTGGAATATGGGGCATTTTCCTCTATGAAATATCTTGAAATACTTGATTTAGGCCTAAACAAGATCGTGCAAACCTTAAGTGGCTATGAGTTTAAAGGTCTTCTCCGCATTAAAATGATTTATCTTTCTTACAATAAACAATTGACTCTAACAAGCACTTCATTTAGTTTTGTTCCAACCCTTGAAAAGCTGAATCTTAGAAAACAGCATTGACAATTAACTCTGAGAGCACATCTCCTTTCGCTTGTTTGAAGAACCTCACAGTTTTGGACCTTGGGAACAACAATATTGCTAACATAGGGGAGGATTTCTTTTCTGGTCTTCATAGCCTTAGAATACTCAACCTGCAGCATAACAACCTTGCTCGACTGTGGAAAAAAGCTAATCCTGGAGGACCTGTTTTATTTCTGAAAGGTCTTCAGAATTTGGAAATACTTGACTTACTGTCCAATGGGTTTGATGAGATTCCTGCCAATGCTTTCAAAGGACTTTTAAATTTAAACATCCTGAATTTAGGAGAAAATAATGTGTATTTACTACTAGCATCCCTATTTGAAGATCAAAGCACACTTCACTCACTGGATGTTCATAAGAATCTGATAACATCAGTTGAGCCAGATACATTTAAAAACGTTTTCATCAACCTTAAAATGTTAAATATGGCTCAAAACCCCTTTGATTGTACCTGTGAAAGCATAGCATGGTTTTCTAAGTGGCTTAATACAACAAATGCTACTGTCATAGGACGGGACAAACAATATGTTTGCAATACACCTAATAAATACCATGGAATTTTTGTGGAAAAATTTGATAACGCTCCCTGCAAGGACAATGCTCCTTTCAAGGCAATTTTTACATTCACCTTCACTTGTACGTGCTGCTTTCTATTTCTGGTATTGTTCTTACATTTCCAAGGCTGGAGAATACAGTTTTACTGGAATGTTGCAGTTAACAAGATCCTTGGTTTTAAAGTAATTGATCCAGGCAACCAAAACTTCCATTACGATGCTTACATCATACACGCTAGCAAAGACATGGAGTGGGTAGACAAATATCTACTTCCACTTGAAACAGATAATACTTCTCAGCTTAGATTCTGCTTTGAGGAAAGAGACTTTGAAGCTGGATTACCGATTCCAACTTTAACAGTCAATAGCATCAGAAGAAGCAGGAAAATTATTTTTGTGATATCCCACTATTTTTTTTGAATGACCAATGGTGTACTAGGTAAGTTTGGCAACCTGTAAATTGTTACATTTATCACCTAATTAGTAAAATTGGCATACAAAATTCATTTTGCCAATGTTTCTGTTCACTACATACTGTATATTGTAGATCAAATTTTCCAAATGTTTTGCACCAAATTTAAAAAAAAAAAAAGTTGAACCACATTTAGTGATACTGTGAACACATTGGACTGATTCTTAAAATTGATTTACATGTCGAAAACTATTGTGCGTTCTTAAAGAATGGTAGACTTTAAAAATGTTACAAATAGTATATCTGCTTTATTACAAAAAAAAAAGAAAATACACATTCTTAACAAACATATTGTAGACATGTGCAGAACAAAAAAATTTGTTTAGTTTTGGATCGATTCGTTAAGTTTCTAAATTTGTTTTGTTGCATTTGTAACAAAATTTGTTTAGTTTAGTTTTGTTTAATTTTTTTTTTTACCAAATTAAACATTTTCCAATAGCTTTGAAAGTATTCTAATCAAATTTGAATAAAAAATATCAAATCAATCTGAATTAATGGTGAAAAATAGCTGGTTCTATTTCATTTTAAATTTGAATTTCAGAAGATGCCTACATTTTTTTATTTTATTCTATTCTATTTGAAATTCAAATTTCAGAAGAAGGCTATATTTTATTCTATTATTTTCAGTTCTATTCTTTTCTATTCTATTCCTTTATATTCTATGAATTTCTATTCTATTCTATTTTACTCTTTTCTATTCTATTCTGTTTTGTTCTATTCTTTTCGAAATTCAAATTTCGGAACACCACTGTATTCTATTTTATTTTATTCTATCTGAAATTCGCATTTCGAAAGACGGCTATATTCCTTCTATTTTCTCTATTCGCAATTCGAATTTCAGAAGACAACTATATTCTTTCGATTTTATTCTATTCTTCTATATTCTAATCTATTCTTTTTTTATTTCTATTCTTTTATTTTTTTTTATTATATTATTTTCTATTCCTTTATTTTCTATTCAATTCCTTTCTTTTCCATTCTATTTCTTTATTTTCTATTCTATTTTATTCTTTTTTATGCTATTCTATTTTAATCTGTTTTCTATTCTATTTATTCTATTCAATTCAAAATTCTAATTTTGAAAAACGGCTATATCTTTCTAGATTCTTTCTATTTTATTCTATTCTATTCAAAATTCAAATTTTGCAATTGGAATTTCGGAAGACAGCTATATTCATTTTATATTGTATTCTTTTTATTTTCTGTTCTTTTTCTTTTATATGCTAACTTATTTTTTTTTTTACTCTATTCTTTTCTATTCTAATATATTACATTTATTTCTATTCTTTTATTTTATTTTTCTATTCTATTCTTTTCTATCCTATTCTTATATTTCCCATTCTAGTCTATCCTTTTCTGCTCTATTCTTTTCTATTCTATTCTTTTATTTTCAATTTTATTTTATTCAATTTCTATTCTTTTCTATTACATTCCTTTATTTTCTATTCTGTTGTATTTTATTCACTTCTTTTCAAAATTCGAATTTGGGAAGATGGCTATATTTTTAATACACACAGTCTTTGAAGGAAATAAGCAATAGTAAGCAATACGTTTACATTTTGAATTTTTTTTTCAAATTCATTTTTAATTCAATTTGAATTTGATTCGAATTCAGATAATTCATTATTTCGGATGAAATTTTGCTTTGTAATTTTCGGATTTGTTTAAACTTGTTACTATTGCAATTTGGAAATTCGGATACATACAAATCTCCAAATTCTATTATTTTATTTTTATTCTATTCTGTTATTTTCTATTCTATTATTTTATATTCTTTTCCATTGTATTATTTTCTATTCCTTTATTTTCTATTCTATTTTTTTCTGTTCTATTCTTTTCTATTCTGTTCTATTCTATTACTTTGTATTATATTCCTGTATTTTCTAGTCTATTCTTTTGTATTCTTTTTTCTGTTCTATTCTATTATTTTATATTATATTTCTTTATTTTCTATTCTGTTCCTTTGCTAATATTTTCTGTTTTATTTTCTATTCTTTTCTGTTTCATTCTATTCTTTTCAAAATTAAAATTTTTGAAGATTGCTGTATTCTAATACATACGTGTCTTTGAAGGAAATAAGCAATAGTCAGAAATATGTTTACATTTCAAATTTGTTTTCAAAGTCTACTTAGTTTTTGAATTCTATTTGAATTCAGATAATTCATTATTTCAGATTCAATTTTGTTTTATTTTGGATTAATTTAAATTCGTTACTATTGTAATTCAGAAATTCAGGTACATCCAAATCACTGAATAATGAAAATTTTGTCCACATTTCAATTTGGAACTATAAAAATGGCACATGTGGAACATATGAGATTATACTTACCCAACAAGTCTACACTATGGAAATTGAAGGGTTTCAAGGAAAAAAAAACATAAAAATGTTAACACTTTATTACCAACTGCCTGCATCCAGGGTTAATCCTCTGTGGGTAATGACTGCAGAACTGATTATATGCAAATGGATGTGAATAGTTGTGGGTGCTGCCAATCTCCCATTACTTGGAATGGGGTGGGTCATAGGGAAACTGATCCATCCATTTCTCTCCTGCCCCTGGGCATTAAGCAGTGGCAGGATAGAAATGGATGGATTAGTTGCTCTATGAGCCACCCTTCCTATCCAGGCATCCCCAGCCCACCAGGCAAATGCTCGGTGTGTTCTATGGCCAGTCCAGGCCTGCTCATTTTACATCTATAAATTGCTGCTCCTGCACTGCATTTACATTTTTTTTAATATTATCTTCAATGGTGATATTACACCCCTGGGATTAAAACCAAAGCCAAAAATGTAATATATTGCAGTTTACCAATCTTTAATTGTGTTGGCTGCATTAGTTTTCTTTTTTTTTTTTCTTTTTTTTTTTCCCTCTGTTTTCATCTGGTGATCTGACCAGTAACACACCTGTATTGGAGTGCCTTCACTCTGGATGAATGAACACAGGGGAACATTTGGACAACAGAATTTAAATTTTTTGGGGGAGGGGTTATTGAATGTACTAAATATCTAAATGATCTAAATACACTAACAAATTGAAGCCAAACTCCAGCTGATACATTATAAGCAGTTACAGCAAACAGCTTTTTTCCTTTTGGCTTTACATAAATAAATGTAAGTTAATCACCGCAAGCACCCCTGTCAGTGATAAATGGTTTGTCTCATCTGTGTAACTGCAAGGGAGCTTGTTCTTTTGATAAACAACAGACTTAATGGCTAGATCACCAGAAGAAAATTGAAAGAAATTTGAAAAAATAAAGCCTAAAAAAGAAAATGAATTTAGCCATCACATCTAAGAAATGGTAAGCTGCAATATCATATTGCTTTAGGGTTTAATATTGATTTTAGCATTGTCACCTATCATGCAGCTTCTTTATTTCACCTATCATGCAGCTTCTTTATTTCACCTATCATGCAGCTTCTTTATTTCACCTAACATGCAGCTTCTTTATTTTGTAATCCTTGCCTACTGTATGTTCCTGTTTAAGCTGATGCCCAGCTTATGATTGATGATCCAAGTTTCCTTTTCCAGGGTGGCTTCTCTCTCTTGTAGAATTCTATGAAGCCACCTTTACATGCAGGGTCTAGAGTTAAGTCTCCCTATATTGTGTGCATTAATAGAAATATACACCCCCATAACCTAGACTATCAACGCTACACTATCCACTGTTAAGTTTTTAATTTGAAGACTGAAAGTTCAGGGAAGCAACACTGAGAGAGTAGGAGCCAGCAGCACAGAAAGCTTTAAACTGCAAGTGCTGGGGTAAGAGTTTTTTTTACTGGGGAATGTTTATATTATTGCACTCAATGTGTTAAGATGAAAACGCTGAACATTTAGTACTACTTTTACATCACTTTTCTATACCCTATAGATGTTTGTTTTTAACGTTTTGTTGTGTTTATATTGAATGATATCATTTTATTTCTACAAGGTTCAAGATATACCAGGCCGTCCAGCAAGCCATTGAGCAGAGTCGTGATTCCATCATTCTCTTGTTTATTGAAGATATTCCAGATTACAAATTAAATCACAGCATAAACCTGAGAAGAGGAATGTTCAAGTCCCGCTGTGTTCTAGAATGGCCTGTCCACAAAGAAAGACTGAATGCTTTCAAGCAAAAACTTAAGATTGCCTTAGGATCAACTAACGTGGTGAATTGAAGAACAGTGTAAATTGTCTACAATATGGAGAACAACCTTATAGATGTGCAGGACTCTGCCTACTCCAAAGGGCTTCACATTAAAATTTAGGCCAAGAAACTAAGCCCTTTGCGTAAAGTGATTATTAGGTTCCATGCACACTAGCGGGCTTTTGTTAAGCTAAAAAAAGCTGAAAGATATGCCAGATAAAAAACGCTGGTAATAGCATTTTTTAGTAGCGCTTAGGAGCGTTAGCATTTTTACAGTACAAAAAAAAAGCTAGAAAAAAGCTGTTGAGCGTAGTGTTTAGTTTTTTTTTTGTACTGGCAAAAACACTCCAAAAACTAATTTTTTTTCTGCTTCTAGACGCTGAAGCTCAAAAAATGCTAATACCAGCTTCTAGAAGCTTACAAAATTGGTAGTGTGCGTGGAGCCTAAAGCTTTAAATTTTTTTCTTAAAAACAGATATGTTATTCCCCCAAGTGCTCTTAGCTCCTCCTCTTCTCTGTGAGCCTCCATAGGAAGCAGCTTTCAGTGGGGCCCAACTACAGGTGTGCTCCCGATCCAGGCTTTGTGTGTCTGTTGACACACAGTGCAGGTCTGCCCCACCGCCACGCTCTACACACAGGGTTTGATTGACAGCAGCAGGAGCCAATGGCTCTCACTGCTGCCTCTGTAAGCAGAGAGAGAGGAGAGAGCCACTACTGACGGGCACAGCACTGGATTGAGAATGGAATCATGTACGTATACAAGGAGGTGAGGGGGGTTGATACAGATACAGGGACATTACCTTAATGCAGGGAGTGCATTTTATGTTTACCAATTCCATGAGAGTGCTAAGAAACTTGTGATGAAATGGTCAGAGAGTCAATCTCCACCCAGCACTATTTTCATTTTTGATAAGCTTGGGAAGAGTTAATGCTTGTATCAAGATTTTATTGTTGTCAGTGAGACCCTGCTGGGCTAATTTTGCTAAATTTCTTTCTTTGTAACAGCAAGACAAGGGAACTGGTTGTCACTTGGAGAGAAAGCCTCAATAATTTGACAGAGGCTCTGATTTTGATGAAAAATAGTGTTTTATTTCAGTTTATGTTCTGATTAGAGAGATTTCCTATCACTTCCTGACAAACAAAAATCTCCCCTCAAAAAAAAAACTGAATGCAAAAAAAATAAAACCTAACAGGTCTTATCCCTTCCCTACTCTGCTCCAAACTTTTCAAAACTTTTTAGCTAGAATTGGACTTAAGGGGACAATTCACTCAAGGGTCACCCAGTGTGTTGCATTTAATAAATGCACGTTAATGTGAGTTGCTTTAAAGCAGCCTATTCAGTCAGCCTAACACACCAAAATGGACCATTAATTGGACCTCCTGTATTTTTGATAGCACACTGCAATGCACACGTGTGCATAGTGTGCTATCGTGTGTTGTGATGGTGCGCTTGAGTGCCAATCACAATAAATGGCATGTAACGTGTGTTCCTGTGTGTTAGCACAGTGGTTGGAAAGGGCCCTTACCATTGAGAAACACTTTCCTCCTCATTTTGTCATAAGGAAACGTATAAGGAGAAAAAACTATTTAATGAATGACAGTTAACTAGCAGGAGACCAAGTGGTCTCTTATGCTGTCACGTACTGTACGTATCAATGATATATACAGTGGGGATCGAAAGTTTGGGCACCCCAGCTAAAAAATTTGTATTAATGTGCATAAAGCAGCCAAGGAAAGATGGAAAAATCTCCAAAAGGCATCAAATTACAGATTAGACATTCTTATAATATGTCAACAAAAGTTAGATTTTATTTCCATCATTTACACTTTCAAAATAACAGAAAACAAAAAAAAATGGCGTCTGCAAAAGTTTGGGCACCCTGCAGAGTTAATATCTTGTACTGCCCCCTTTGGCGAGTATCACAGCTTGTAAACGCTTTTTGTAGCCAGCCAAGAGTCTTTCAATTCTTGTTTGAGGTATCTTTGCCCATTCTTCCTTACAAAAGTCTTCCAGTTCTTTGAGATTTCTGGGCTGTCTGTCACGCACTGCTCTTTTAAGGTCTATCCATAGATTTTCAATTATGTTGAGGTCAGGAGATTGTGAAGGCCATGGCAAAACCTTCAGTTTACGCCTCTTGATGTAATCCCCCGTGGATTTCGAGGTGTGTGTTTAGGATCATTATCCATTTGTAGAAGCCATCCTCTTTAACTTCAGCTTTTTCACAGATGGCATCAAGTTACCATCCACAATTTGCTGAAATTTTATTGAATCCATTTTTCCTTCTACTCGTGAGATGTTCCCTGTGCCACTGGCTGCAACACAACCCCAAAGCATGATTGATCCAACCCCCATGCTTAACAGTTGGACAGAGGTCCTTTTCATTAAATTCTGTGCCCCTTCTTCTCCAAACGTACCTTTGCTCATTCCGGCCAAAAAGTTCAATTTTAACCTCATCGGTCCACAGAACTTGTTTCCAAAATGCATCAGGCTTGTCTATATGTTCATTTGCAAAGTTCAAACGATGATTTTTGTGGTGAGGACGTAGAAGAGGTTTTCTTCTGATGACTCTTCCATGAAGACCATATTTGTACAAGTATCTTTTTATAGTAGAATAGTGTACCACAACTCCAGTGTCTGCCAGATCTTTCTGGAGGGATCGTGCAGTCAAACGTGGGTTTTGAATTGTTTTTCTCACAATCCTGCGAGCTGTTCTGTCTGATATTTTTCTTGGTCTTCCAGATCTTGCTTTAACTTTCACTGTTCCTGATGACTGCCATTTCTTAATTACATTCCGAACAGAGGATATTGACATCTGAAAACGCTTTGCTATCTTCTTATAGCCTTCTCCAGCTTTGTGAGCGTCAACTATTTTCAGTTTCAGTTTTCTAGACAACTGCTTAGAAGAACCCATGGTGCTGATTGTTGGGGCAAGGTCAGATGAATCTGGGCATTTAAAACCTTTGAGATTGACATCCCCTGGTCTTCCCAGACGATGATTGAGAACAATCCATGACACTGGCAGGTCTCAGCTTTGCAAAGGGGGCAGTGCATGCTATAAATTCTGCAGGGTGCCCAAACTTTTGCAGACGCCATTTTTTTGTTTTCTGTTATTTTGAAAGTGTAAATGATGGAAATAAAATCTAACTTTTGTTGACATATTATAAGAATGTCTAATCTGTAATTTGATGCCTTTTGGAGATTTTTCCATCTTTCCTTGGCTTCTTTATGCACATTAATACAAATTTTTAGCTGGGGTGCCCAAACTTTCGATCCCCACTGTATATACAGTTTAAAGTTTACAAAAATGATATAAAAATTAGAAAAAGAAGGATTTTGTAGATTATTTTTACTTTGAATTTTGTAGATTACTTTTACATTTGTTTTATTAAATGCTGGGGCTTATTTTAAAGAAAAATCTTAGAGTTTTTTTGTGAGTGACAGGAACCGTTTTACCTTCAGTGAAAACCGGTAAAAAAAAATAAATCAGTAGATTCAGAATAGTATAGACCACTTTAGTTATATGCAAAGTAAACCTTTTCCTACATTCCTGAAGTAGAACTATAGGCAAAACTTTTTCCTGGTGCCAAACATAGCAGCATACATGTGGTAGAAGCCCTGACTACTTCCACCCACAGCACCATTGAGTAGCTATAAATCGTTAACATCCACACAACAACCCATTCCCTTTTTTTAAGATAGGATTTTCTGAAACTTTTAACCCTGGTAGCTAGTTATGGGCCTACCATATGTATGCTGCCATGTTGGCACCAGGAAGTTGAAAAATTGTATCAAATACTTACCGTAATCTTCCTTTCTGGGTGCCAATCCATGGCAGCATAATGAACCCACCCGTTCATTCCCAGCGATGTACCGGGAACGGGCTGTTGTGTGGGTGTTAATTCTTTACAACTATGCACCGTTCCTGTGGGTGGAAGTAGGCGGAGCTACTACTATATGAATGCTGCCATGGATTGGCACCAGGAAAGGAAAATTATGGTATTTGATACAATTTTCCATATTTTTTTTTTTCATTTTAGATAGAGCAAGAGAGGGTTATAATCCTTGTCAGATTTATTTTTCACTATCTGTCTCCCATTGCGGAGATTTCCCTTCACTTCCTGTCCCAAAGCCAAACAGGAAGTGACAGGAAATCCCTGAAAATTAAAAGAATTCCTTGGGGATCCTCAAGCCACACAAACTAGTGTACTCATTGGAAATTCTCCCCCTATTATTGTTCTGGGGACAACCCAAAATATGAGATTTTCTTTTACATTCACTTTCAATTATAACAGTAAACTGAACACATAGAGAGGGTGTGAAACTCCTTAACAGGGGCACAGGCAGCCATAAAAACTGACAGGGGTTCTAATCCATCTCCGATTCCCCAATCTGTCCAGAACTAGAAAAAGGTTTTCCCTTTAGTTATACTTTAAAGTATCAATAAAGTCAAAACTTTTTTTTTTCAATTTAGATTAAGTTTTTTTTTTTGCTATATGTGTCCCATTAGAGAAATTTACCTTCACTTCCTGTCCCATAGCCAAAACAGGAAGTCAAGTAGTGAGAGGAAATCCCTCCAAAGTGAGGGAATCCTGGGGTGTCACCAGGATTGTCAGAACTAGTGAAAGGTTAATCCTCTAATTGTGTTCTAAAGTAACCCAAAACTTGAGGCTTTCTTTAATTTCACTTTCGATGATAACAGTCAATAGGACAAATAGAGAGGGTGAACATCACAAAAAAGGGACCTGACAGGTGTTCTATTCCCTCTGCACTCTATTCAAAACTAACAAAAAAGTTGTCTTTGGTGACACTTTGCCCTTTCTATTGGCCATTGAAGCTACCAATCACATTAACAAATCAATAAGCAGCTCCTCCTTCTTGGCAAGTGCCCCCATAGAAAGCCACTTTCTATGGGGGCACTCGTGCGGGCTTGCTCCTGAGCCACGCTCTGTGATGCAGCCCCGCCACCCCCATTACTGGCTTTGATTGACAGCATCAGGAGCCAATGCCTCCCGCTGCTATTAGTCGTCCAG